CAGTGGAACTTGCCCCTGGGAAAGGGCCGGAAAATATAGTGGGACAGAGGGGGAAAATGCGGGGAAAATCGTGAGTAGGACATGCAACTCTCTGTGCATGCGAAATCACTGCAGTAGAAAATTAGAAAATTTTTGGTACTGGCTCAGACAGAAAAGGCAGACAAGATTCGGTTACAACGGGAGCTATATCTTTGTATGCATAGAGAAAAATCAAAATTTTTCTTTATAAAGAATTTCTCAACTTTTTGTAGTACAATATGTTCCAATTTTATAAAAAGAAACTACCTTGAAATGGAAGAAAAATCTTGATTATGACTTTTCGAATGACTTTGGTCAACTTATGTACCACAAATTTGTCTCAGTGTCCTATCATCCATCCCTTTCTGACCGCTCTCGCCATCCCATTCACACGTAAGTGCAAATCGCATGCCGAGTGCAACATCTGTGGCATCCAGAAATGAAGTCATACAGAATCGCAGCCACCGAAAACGTGACAACGCCGCCAAAACGACAGCAACAGCTGAAGAACTTGAGCGACATCTCGTAACCGGCAAACTGGGTTTTCCCAACCTTACACCGCCACCCACACCCCCCTCGGAAAATTCCCTTTCCCACTACCAGTGCAAATTGCAATTAACGTTGGACGCTCTAATTAGCTCAAACCATCCCGGAACGAGCTCGTTGACTAAGCTTTGAGTGCATAATTAGCCAAAGACCCTGCTCCAAAATGGGGAAGGTGTACGGTAATGCTTCGCTAAAATATTTTTAAACATCACCTACTTAGCAGCCAATTAGCTGGGGGTAGGTGAAAAAAGCGAGCACAGGCATCCAAAAGGCGCCTTATCAATTACCTGTATCATCAATCAAAGGCTCTTTGCAGGTGTAAAGCACCCGAAATAGCTACAGCTTTGGGGGGTTTTAAATGGCTGTGTGTGTGGTGCTGGCAAAGATAATTTATAAAAAATAAAAAAGAAAGGCAAACGGAATGACAAATGAAATACAGCAGGCAGGTGGGAAAGATAACCCGAACATAAGTATTATTTAAGCGAAAACAAGAAGACCATAAATGAGGAAACCATTAAAAAAGGCGACAAGTAATTGCTCTTTAAAATTTTAAAAAATAAAAAAGTGTAAGTCATCATCGCTGCAATTATTTTTTTAGTTTGAAACAATTTATAATACTTTATTTAAACACCATTAAAGTCCCATTGAAATACCATTGAAATAACATTAATATACCATTGAAATACCATTGAAGTATTTTTGAAAAACAATTAAAATACCATTAAAATACCATTGAAATACTATTGGAATACCATTGAAATACCATTTAAATACTATTGGAATACCATTGAAATACCATTTAAATACCATTGAAACACCATTGAAATATCATTAAATTACCATTTAAATTGCATTGAAATACCATTGAAATACCATTGAAATATCATTGATATATCATTGAAATACTATTGAAATACCATATAAATACCATTGTAATATCATTTAAATACCATTTTAGTATCATTCATTAACCATTTCCGAGTAAATGACCCTTACTTTGCCATCTTACTTTGCATATCATAAATGCAACTGATAGATAAATTCGCCTGCCCACATTTTCATGGGTATTTAATTCACTGGGCTGCATAAAAACCGACCAGCTTGGCATATGAGTTTCTTTCAAATTAAATGTGACGAAAACAGTTAAAAACACGCATACATTAATGAGGCGTGGGCAGTCGAATGGCAAAACCAATTTGGCCTCGAATGCCACATGGAATAATCAGTACATAAATATCTCTCTCTGCAGCCTTGCAATTGATGCAACCACAGATGGGTGGCATTTGTGATATTTGCATTGCGCTGGCATATTTCCCACTCACACTCCATTTAAAAATAACTTTTAACTTGATTAAAAAATGGCAAGGAGGCGTAAGGAAACGGAAACGGAAGTAGCACCAGGAGCAAAGTGAAATCTTGTGCAATTAACTTAAAGCCAACTTGACTTGGCCAAAGGACAAGGACGGGCATGGACTTGGAGGCAGAAAAGGATCCAGAGATGGGGGTGAAGGTGGAGGTGGGCGAGGAGGTCCAAGGAGGTCAGCCTCGCTTCAAAAACTAATTGACATCGTTGCTCTGGCAGCCGCTGACAGCTGGCGCTGAGAGTTCTCCTTGGGATCCTGGCTCATTCTGCCCCTCAACCTGCCAGTTTTTCCCACTATCGCCCATCTTCTCAAGTTTCTTGTGGAAGGCTCGCAAATATTTTCACAGCTTTCGACTCGCTTTTTAGCCACACAGAGCAAAAACAGAAATCAATTAGCATGTCTCGAACTTCTCTAATGGAGAGTTAACTATAAGTAGCCACCCTACTTGGTGATAGGAATTTAAATATTTAAAATATTATTTTTGAACAGCTTTGTTAACTTAAACCCAAAAGATATACCAGAAATATATAGTCCTAACCGCTTAAAATAATTATACGAAGTAAGATGCAAAAAGTTCAATTTGAAGTGGGTTTCCTAACAATAAATGTGTGGTTTCTATGAATTTTAGGTCTAAATTAATTCACCACTATTTGATCTTACACTTTTTCAGAAAACCGAAAATGTAATGCGGTTTTTTTTTTTTGTTATAGCAAAAACCTTGATTAACCAATCCTTTTTTATTCCGTTTTAGAAACTTATTTTTTCCATAAAAAAAAAATGGATGTTAAACTTTTACTATTCGTTTGAATAGATTTAAAAGAGTATAATAAGTCGTTTATATAAGTTATGACTTATAAGTTAGGACTTGATATATTTACAATAGAACACTTAATAATTAGATAGACACATCATAAATTACCATATATATAATACATTTTATTAACTACGACATGTTTAAACTTAGCCCAGGTCAGGCTTATCAGTAAAGTCAATATAATTGATATGCCTGAAATGTTTATGAATGTAAGTCGAAAAAACCACACCCACCGCTGGCAAATATACATATCTACACCCTTATCGCAGCATGTTACTACCCCAGTCACAGTGGAATGTCAGGAGTGTAATCTGTTGTTTTAAAATACCACTGATAGGATGAAAAACCGAAGAGGTCTTAACATTTTTTTCCGTGCACAACGATGCCCACAACTCGTTCTCCCTTGGCAGTTTTAATTTAATTTTACACCGAATTCTGCACCCTGTCGTGACCAACATCGTTCGTTGCAGGCGCCAATTTTCGCGCGTCCTTTTGCGGCCGCACTGCAGGATCAGAATGGAGAGTGGAGAAAAGAGAGTGGAGAAAGGAGAAAGGACGTCGGCAACTATTGTCAGGGCCATTAAAAAAGTTTAGTCCGATTCGAGCTGGCACGCTTAATGGCCCAGATTTTAATCAGAAAATGAGTTAAAAGCCAGCTGGCGGCACCGCCGGCGCTTGACGATATCCTCCTGCCGCTGATTATTGTGGTGCTTTCCGGTGCTTTTGCCACAATTACTTGCACACGTCGCCGAAGGCCGAAGAAGGTGCCTGCCAACAGTGCCTGCCAAAAGTGATGGCACACCGCGCATCGTGGATCGCACATCGCGGCAAAGTTTCGGGGCGCATTATAAAAGTTTTATCTGCAGCAGCGACAGCGGCAAAAGTGACAGGAAAACAAAAAATTGCATTAACCACAGACGAGACTTTGGCGAACATTCATCATTATTTTTGCTTTTCTGGCGGTGCAATCCAAGGGATTTAAGTGATAAGCAAAAAGTTTGCGTGTGGTAGTGTCGGAAATCGTGGATAAAATTTTTGGATAAATAAATTCCATTAGGAAAAAAAGTTTTAGAGCTTAAAAAACTTTAAAAACTGGCCTTTTGAGATAAAAAAAAATCAATTTATCAGTATTTATTTAAATATAGGTCTATGTGATTTAAAATGTACTTGTTTTTATATATAGTAATACATATGAATGATGGTTAAGATATGTAAAATATGTAACATACTTAAGATATATAATTCAAATGTAAGATGACTTACTTTTAGAACTAAAAGTGATAATCTGTAATAATTTTTGTGATCTGTGATAATTTGTACAAAAAGAGAATCAATTTGTCTGTCAATGTGATTTAAAAATGGTTACTTATAATATATTTATTACTCCCAAATGTAAGATAACTCATTTTTCGAAAGAAAAGCGATTATCTCTTCGCTGTTGATGTCACAACAGCTCATTGCTAGATTATTTATGCCCGATCAGCAAAATCAGTGAACTATCGCACACAATATTTGCTAATCTACCCCACATGACTAAAAATGTAAATAAGTCTATCCATACCAAAAGATGATGAGTCAGTCACATTGAGTTGTGAGATCAAGTCAAGCTAGACAACCGCCAGACTCAGCATCTATGTACACTCAAGATCGTTTTACGTTTTCTAACATACATATATGTTATGAGAAATCAAGTTTACCATAAACTATAAATGCTTAAACTAAGGGGAAAGAGAAATTTTGTTTTTATTTATTTGCTGAATATTTGCGAAGCTTTGAGTGTGTGATTTCAATATTGTTCCACTATAAAAATCAACCACGTATTGAAAATTCATAAAACACCATAGGTGTGGCTTATAAAGTTAAGCTAACACTATTCTTTTAATTATGAACATTTAAATTTGGGATGTGTGTCAGATAGTTCGGATCAATCAAAATTTGCAACATTTAACTTCTTCCAACAGAAAAAACGTAAGCTTGCTGTTAAAAATTAAAAGTTAAGTTGTTTAGTTTAAACTTAAATTTGTTTACTTTGTTTATTATAAATACAAAAACTATAATTCAGAATTTTTGTTTAAAATTAAAACCAGTTTACTCTTGAACGTCAATTTAAATTTTTACCCAAATTTGGCAATTCAATGATAATATAATAATAATAATAATTATGAAATGCCTATCATTATTTTAAAACATTAAAACTTCACAAAAATAGACTGCAACCTGGAAAATTTAATAAGCACACTTGAAATAATTTAAAAGCATTTAGTTGGTATTATTTTAAGTTTAATCAATCTATTTAGCCTTTTTTGGGATTACTGGTTTAAGAACTTAATCGAGGTTGGTCTGTTGTTGCACCTGGTAGTTCCTCCCCAGGCCGAAAGGCTGCCAGGTGATGGGTTGCAGGGGCTGCAGGGGCTCGAATGGCCTCAGGGTAAACAGGGGCGGGAAGGGGATGAACTGACCGCAGGAGGATCCGCTGCACTGCGTCTGCGACTGGTAGCCACTGCCCGTTTGGCTCTGGCTCTGGGACTGGGATCCGTCCTCGGAGGTCTGGCTCTGGCAGCCCGGGCCGGTTTGCGTCTGACTTTGATAGCCGTTGCCATCGGAGATCTGGGTTCCACTGCCGTTATTGCATTCCACGGGCGCCGCCTGTGGGGGGAAAATGGTATAGGGTTACGCCCAGTCGATTGTCACCACCCCCAGACTCATTCTCATTTTCATTTTCGTTTTCATTACGTTCAGTCCGGACAGCACGCACAATCCGGCGAGAAAAACAGCAAATGCGACGACTCTCATGTTGGGTGTTCAATGTTTAATGGTCCGAGAACAGAATTCGACTGAGCACAACCCAGTGTGTGTGGGCACACTTTAAAGCGCCAACAGCCGCAAACCGGAGAGATAATAGAATGTATCGCCGATAAGACCACCTCGGATTGAATATTTATGGGTCCGCTCTCGCCGACGAAAGGTGTAAGTTCGGCCAGCGGCGATTGTCTTTTCTCTCAGATGGGAGAGGTTTAAAACTTTCCGCTGATGCTTCGGGGTTCCCATAGACTAGATGGGTATACGTACGTGCCCCTCCCAAAATGTCTAGCCAAGTGACCTGCTGGCGCCAGAAATAACCGAATATTACGCACAATTATGCAACTCGAGATTAAATCTCTAAGAACATTTCTACACTGCGAAATCAAATAAAAAAGTTTAAAAAAATGAAATATTTACAATTTTATTACCAAATCTATTACCGTTTTGTGTGTTCTATACGACTATAATTTTATTGCACGTTTCTGTAAATTATACTCTTTTTACCTTCTTCTTAAAAATAATATTTTTGTTTTTTTTTAATAAAACTTATTTTTTTACGATTTTCCGTAAGGCACAATATATTTTGTTTAGCTTATTTCATTACGGCACTGATCCATAAACAAAGTTATTACATTTATATGCGAGTATCACGAAAAAAATAAGTATTTAGTTTTCTTCTGGTTAAGAAATAACGTCTAACTCTTGCAACTTATTAAAAGTTATTTACAACTTTAAAAAAACATGAAATATATTTTTACCTAAAAATATTTTTGATGGTCTTTATTTTTACCACAAGTTATTGGATCTCTGAAAAAATAATAATTTACATTTACAGTACCTTAAAACCTAATACCTAACCTACCATTTATAAAGTCCCAAAATAAAACATTCATGTTTCTATTTAAAAATTTAAAAAAGGGAGTTGTTTTTTGGATTTTCATAAACTAAATGCACACATGTTTATTACAATTGCTTTCACAAGTTGCTAATGTTTTTTTTCAAATTTTAGAGGCTCATCGGAATAATCAAAGATCGAAATAGAAGGGCCCGTCTGAGGTGGAGGTCGTGGGGGCACTCGTGGAGGTAGTTCCCACTGTGGTGGTAGTGGGCACTCCGTACTTCAGACAGTTGTTCAGAAGATCATAGGTGGCCGCCGTATCCCGGACATAGTTGTTCTCCGTGGCGTTGGTGCACTGGTACTCCGTGTCCTGGATGGCTTGGATGCCCAAGGTCAAGGAACTGGCTGATCCAGCAGCATTGCTGGCCAGGTCGTAGATCACGGAGACATCACTCTGGGCCTGTGGGTTGGTATAGTTATTAATTGTTTTAACTTTCCTATTAAAATATGATTAACTCACCGCACTGGCATAGCAATTGAAGAAACTGGTGGTATCATTGTCGCTGTCACAGGAGGTGAAAGCACTACAGAGGCTGGTGACCTCCGACTGGTAGATCTTCTGCTGCTGATCGGCCTGGGCAGTCAGATTGGCGGTCTGGGCATTGGCGGTACTAATGCATCCTTGGTAGGAACTGGAAAAGGTGGCAGCCACTTCGTTCAGCAGGGGCATGTAGAGGTTGAAGCACTGCGTGGTCACATCCTCGGAAACAATGGTATCCAGATTGCGGGCATGCACCAGATACTGATCCAAGGCGCTCTGGATCTGCATGTTGGGTTTGGCCTAAAGGAAAAATTACAAGTTACTTCCCAAAACTCTTCAGATATCCAGGTAACCCTACATTTGCAGCCATAATGCTGGCCAGGATTAGCACACTGCACAGAAGCTTCATGTCGGTGGTTGTATCTTTACTGTTGCTACCAATGAACTGGCCAAAATGTTTTATATACACGGCAGGCAGGGCAAATGATGGATCCGTTTGGCCAACTTCAAATTGGTGTGATTGTTCTTGCAGTCGTATGGCGATCAATTAGGTAGAATTAAGGCGTATGACCAGACAATTCCATTCGATGAGTCAGGGTCAAATACGGATAACAATATAAGATAGCCAACAAGCAGCGATAGGCCAAATAGGCGGTTCTTCAAACTTATCAAAGGTCTTTGAGCAGCTTAAGAGTTTAATATCCGTTAAATCGATTGCTGTAAGCATGAGTAACAAGGCCCAACTTTAAAGCGAAAATCCTCTGTATATCTCTGTATTTATTTTAATATTTTTTACACAGGTAAACATTCGGTTGGAAGTTTTTCCATTTGGGCCAAAAGTAGACTACACATTGCATCTGCAACCAAAGACAATTTGTTTGCGTTTATGCGTATCACACACATTATTTTGCTACTTCATGAGATTTATTTATAAATATATCATATTTTTTGCTAATAATTATTGTATAATTAGCTTGTCTTATTAACTTACCAAAAAAAATTTGTATTACATATTTTCAACTATTTAAAACGCAAAAAAACGTTTTAAATGTATTTTTCCAAAATCTCGTTAAAAACTTGTAAAATTGGTTATTTAAAATCTAAAAAAACACTTTTCATTTTAAATTAATAGATTTATTTTCGTAATTTCCATTGTAAGCTTAAAGTGCTTTAATCAATTTTTAATCGGGAATACTTTTTGATATGCATAATATATTATAGATATTTTCTTTAAGAAAAGTTTATAGAACCCCCAGTTAATTTTTTCCAAATGCTCATTTATAGGTTTTTTTTTTTAAAATCTTAAAAAGTGTTGATTGTAAATAAAAAGAATTCCATTTGCAAATTTAAAATGTGAACATTGATTTTTCATTTGTGCCCTATCTCATTCATATTTTTTGGAATAGACTGAACTTGTATTAATTTATCTTATTTGTTAGAAAATTTTAAAGAACGCCCAATTAAAGTTTTTCGAATGCTCATTTATTGCTTGCAATTACTCGAATTAATGGCTTAAGAGGAGGCCGGAGTGCCTGCCGCGGCGGAGGTCACCGGAGCATCGGTTCCGGGTTCAGCAGTGGTCACCGGAGCATCGGTTCCGGGGGCATCGGTGCTCACAGCAGCGGCAGCGGAGCTGGATGACGCAGCAGTAGTGGTGCCATCAGTGACAGGAGCCCCGCTCGAGCTAGCAACGGGGCTAGTGGCGGAGGGGGCGGCGGTGGAGGTGGTGGGCACTCCGTACTTCAGGCAGCTGTCCAGCAGGTCGTAGGTGGCGGCCGTGTCCCGGACGTAGTTGCTCTCCGTGGTGTTGGTGCACTGGTACTCCGTGTCCTGGATGGCCTTGATGCCCATGCTCAAGCTGCTGGCCGAACTGGCGGCGTTGGTGGCGATGTCGTAGATGACGGACACATCACTCTCGGCCTTGGGTAAAATAAGGGGAAATTATTTTTTAAGAAGAAGGAATGTTTTTTTAAGCTAAGAATTTCCAAAAGTAAATTACTACCTACTCAAAAAAAACTTGTAGTTAATGTTCCCCCATCTTCTTCTGAACAGAACCCCAAACAGGAGGATCCTAACCGCTAGTTAACTGTATGTTTATGTTTTTAAGATTACTACGAAATAATGAGGAACTCATTATTCTTAACAAACTGCTCCTAACCAGAACATCCAAAACACTGATTAGCTGCAAGCTAATATAAAATTTAACCCCTACCACATTACAGTATCCCTAATTACGGGTCATAACCGAAAGATAGCTGAAACCCTATGATGTTTTTTTAACACAGTGTGTCAATTGTCAAGTGTTCCCTGATCTTAGTACCTGTATCTGTCTTAACCTACAGAGTATTCCTAACTGGAGGATCATAACCGCCAGTTAGCTGCAACTCACCGCGATGGCGTAGCAGTTGAAGAATGTGGTGGATCTTTTGATAGGGAACTATGTAAGTCGCAAGTGTTCCTTAATCTTGGTACTCCTATCCTTCTTAATCTATACAGTACCCCTAATTGGAGGATCCTAATCGCTAGTTAGGCTTAACACACCGCACTGGCCTAGCAGTTAAAGAAGGTGGTGGATCTTTTGATAGGAAACTATGTGAATCGCAAGAGTTCCTTAATCTTAGTACTTCTATCCTTCTTAACCTATACAGTACCCCTAACTAGAGGATCCTAACCACCAGTTAGCTCAAGCTCACCGCGCTGGCGTAGCAGTTGAAGAAGGTGATGGATCTTTTGATAGGAAACTATGCAAATCGGAAGTGTTCCCTAATCTGGGTACCTCTATCCTTCTTAACCTATAGAGTACCCCTTACTGGAGACTCCTAACCGCCAGTTACCCTTAACTCACCGCACTGGCGTAGCAGTTGAAGAAGGTAGTGGTGTCGCTGTCGTTGTTGCAGGCAGTGAAGGCGCTGCACAGGCTGGTGACCTCCGACTGGTAGATCTTCTGCTGCTGTTCGGCCTGGGCGGTCAGATTGGCGGTCTGGGCATTGGCGGTGCTGATGCATCCTTGGTAGGAACTCGAAAAGGTGGCAGCCACCTCGTTCAGCATGGGCAGGTAGAGGTTGAAGCACTGGGTGGTCACGTCCGCGGAAACGGTGGCGTCCAGGTCGCGGGCATGCACCATGTACTGGTCCAAGGCACTCTGCAGCTGCAGCTGGACATTGGGCTTGGCCTGGAAAGCGAAAGCCGAACTGGTTACCACCGGAATTGGTCAGCTATCATATATAAAAATTTACTTTGGCGGCCAGAACGCTGGCGAGGATTAGCACACTGCACAGTAGCTTCATAATTGCGGTCGTTTCGTTGGCGGTTCGATCTTAACTGTCGCTGCCAAGGAACAGGCGCATATGCTTTATATACGTGGCCTACGGGGCGAATGATTGATCCGTTTGGGCGAAATGATATTTTTTTGAATATTTTCCTGTTACCGGGCGTCGATCAATTAGGTAGCATTAATGCGTATGCGTAATGCCCAGACCCACAAATTGCTTTGCATGTGCATTCCCATTTGATGCCAAACACGTGTATTCAGGGTCAAAAGCTGATAAGATGGCCAGGAACCACCGGAAGGCCTTACTCGCGGTTCTTTGAACTTGGCCAAGTGAGTTCCCCAGCTTAAGGGCTTAAGATTTGCCTGGAATCGATTGGTGTAACGATTGGTTAATGAAACCCTATATCTATGTGAAAAGTGCCCATAACTTTTTTTATAGAATGACGTAATTAATTGCTGTGCCAAACTTTCGCTCGAGAACTTTTCCTTTTAGCTAAAAGTATGCAACACTTTTTGTCGCCTACAATCAAGTAGAAAGTTTGGGAGCTACTGGATCGTTATTTGCAGACGTACCGCAAGATAAGCAACCTATAAACAAACAATGCATCAATGTCAGATTACATTACCAACTTTCGGTTTACGCGGAAATTTCGATTCGATTTTGGTCAGTCGTTTGTGGCCACAAGTGTCATGAAAACTGTTATTATAACGCTGCTTTTCGCCCTAGGGGTAAATATACAAACATTTAAAATTCCTATTAATTCTAGACATACTTCCTAGGTCTCTGCTGAGCTACCTCAAACTCTGAACAGCTTGTGTTCTTATTTGGATGAAGGAAAGGATATAGTTTCCAATCTGGGCAATACGAAGAAGTGTTTTGCTCGCTATTTACCGGAGTTGGAAAACCAAGGAGCTACTTGGTCGCAGGGATACAGTGCCTGCCAAAAGAGTGCCACCAATGAGCGACAGTCACTGCTAACGGATGCTACTGAAGCTCAGGAAAAGATCAGAGAAACTGCCTCAAACATGAGTTCCTATATTGACCAGTGTTTGTCACTAACAGAATCCCTGGACTTTTTCAACTGCTTTGCCAGAATGGTAAGTGGGTGCCTTAAAACCCCCATTAGAATACTTAATAATCTTTAATCCCATATAGACCAAACTACAGTTGGCCAATGTCTACAATATTTCATTTAATGCCGCCGAGCAGGCTCTGATCCTAAATAAGAAATTGAGTAGCATCGAAATGGAGCACTACCTATGCACAAATCAAACCGAACATAAGTATGTCCAAGGAACCGATAATATCTTTAAATCGTTGGATGAGTGCCTACAACAGAGTGAAACGCCTTATATAGAGGAGGGATAGGATTTCATTCGACTTCATGTACTACAGAATTGCAATAAAATATTTCGATATTTATTAAAAGGTTCATATATCTATGTATTTTTTGTTTTTAATATTCATTAAAACAGGAATTCAAATTTGTATATAGAAATGTGTCTTTAACCTTTACATGTTAATCGATATAATTGAAATGTTTATTGATTTAAATTTCAAAAACGAAATTCTAATGCCATTTTATTTAAGCTTAAATGATTAATACTTTCATTATAAAGTTAGCTAGTTAAAACAATAGTGTTCTTATAAGAAGTTAATATCAACTCATAGTAAATAATTATGAGTAAGTTTAATTTTATAATGGCGTTCATTCACCCTTTATCATTTTGTTTATATAGTAGCAGATAAGCTTTTATTGCTCGCTAAGCTCATCGATTTCTGATCGACATTGTGTAAGTTCTATATGGGCCTGCCTTAGATCCTTCATGTAGTTTTGCTGGGCATCCAGACTGCAAAGCAGGAAAGTCCGGTGCACTGCATCATAATCCTCACGCAGACGTGTATGAGCACTTGTGGCATTGTAAGTTATCTCGGTCAGGATGTCGAGATTGCGAGTTCCCTAAAGGTAAGAGTGTAGAATTTAGATAAAGTGGAGTTTTTTCCGAAAAATATATCAAGTTCAATAAACTTTTTGTTCTTATCTAAGTACAACATAAACGATATTTAAACATCAACACCGATCTTAGACTTCGAACTTTAATCTATACAGATCATCTAAAATGTACAATAACTCACGTTCTCATTGATGCACTTAAAGTACTCCAGATCGTCATCCAAGGTGTCGCAGATTCGCATATTTCCACACACTGCACTGGAGCCCAGTTCGATTTGCAGTCGCTCCAGCTCGACATCCACCTCCAGATTTACGATGGTCTCGTTGGCATTCAGTTCGCACAGATCGTAGGAGTTGGTGAAGACTTGTGAGGCGTTGGCACAGGCAATGGTGAACTCGTCATGGCACTCGTCGACGGTGAGATCGGGTTCGGGGGTGGGATAATCAATGGGGACCTTACTACCCTCCGAGTAACTCAAGTAAAGGCACAACAAAAGAATGGTAAGTACCCAGTAGTGGCGACAGCTGGTCTCCGTTCTCGCAAATTTCTGTAGCGCTTCCATTTGGCCGCCGATCTCGAATGCCGCTGAAGAACCAACGACGCCGCTTGAGGGCCGAGCGGCTAATTGATCACTTCCTAATAAATCGTTTCGAACCCATTCGGTTTTATTGACCAGCCCGAAGGCCAGCTATTTACGACAAGTTGAGGTGCTCTACTTATCTAGCGTCGTGCACAATGATTGCAAGTGTCGACCGCTGGTTTGAAGCCCTCTGATCCGATCTCCCATGCGAACAGTCCGAAATAACAACAGTAGCCGGTGGTATGGCGCTTGTCTAGCGGGGACAAGCGAGATAATGTCCATACCCAGCGATAAGTAACTCCCAGCGACGTTCTCAGGGGAGTTAAGAAAAAGTTAAGCATATGTATTCCTGAAATCTATAACAACAGTTATTACACGCTTAGTAACGACTTTAAATTTAAATAATTTTATAAAAATATTTTTAAAGCCCCTTGGTAAAAACCCCAGGTGCGCCACTGCTTTCACCTTTTTAGGCAATCAATTTGCAATCGAACCCGAAAGTATTCTACGCTTTATACGCAACCGCTTTTATTGGGACTTTTACGGAGACTACAATTTTTAAATGAATGCAATAAATATTTAAAAAATTTTAACTCTTAGAAGAAGCGCTTGAACAGATTCCAAGTTCTCTTGTGAGCTACGGCGGCAGACCTGTTGAGGTCCTCCTCAGGTGAACGCTCGGTGGTGGCGACTTCAGGAGCTTCGGTGGTGGGAACAGCTGGAGTGGTGGTGGGCTCAGCTGTTGTGGTGGGAGCAGCTGGAGTTGTGGTGGGCTCAGCTGTTGTGGTGGGAGCGGCTGGAGTGGTGGTGGGCTCAGCTGTTGTGGTCGGAGCAGCGGGAGTAGTGGTGGGAACAGCGGAAGTTGTGGTGGGAACAGCGGGAGTTGTGGTGGGAACAGCGGGAGTGGTGGTGGGAGCAGCTGGAGTGGTGGTGGGAGCAGCTGGAGTGGTGGTGGGAGCAGCTGGAGTTGTGGTGGGAGGAGCAGGAGTGGTGGTGGGAGCTGCTGGAGTGGTGGTGGGAGCAGCTGGAGTTGTGGTGGGAGCAGCAGGAGTAGTAGTAGGAGCAGCAGGAGTGGTGTCGGCATCAGCATTTCCGTTTAAGCAGACCGTCAAGCTCTCGTCACAGCTATCCATATCGTGGGCGTATTTCACACGAGCCGTATCCACACAGTCAGTGAGATCGGTCTCGATCACCTGGTACCTGGCACTAATGCGGTTGTAGTCCAGGCTGGAGTCACTGTTCAGGGTGAACATCACCCTGTAGCTGTCGGAGGACTAAAAGAGATAAGGGTATTACTAAAAATATTTTAAAAATATTTATTAAAGAGAATTACTTTCAACTTTCCCTTTTTTTTTGAGCGCCTTAGTGCTTATCAGCCAAAACAGACTGGGGGACAAAGCTAACACATTAATGGCACGCTTACTGATTAAACCTAATCGAGCGTTAATAAATACGAAAGTTAAGAATGGATTCTTAATCAGTACAAGCCTAACACTTCCTATTACATATACCTCTTTTAAATCTTAATTGTCGCATTCTAATCTATCCGTTCTGGTTATTATATACAAATGGTTATTATTATTACAAGTTAGGAATGGGAACATTCTTCCTATTATAATCCTAAGTATCTTAATCTATCTATCGTATCTTTCTGTTCTACGTATGTGATCTATGTATTCTAGTTATCATGCTTACGGCATTGCGGTAGCAGTCGAAGAACTCCAGTCCATCGACTTTTTCGTCGCACTTGGTCAGGCTGGTGCACATATTGTTGGTGCGATCCAGGAGGGCCTGGCGCTCCGAGGCACTCTCCTGGGTGAGCTCATCCCGACCAGACTGGGCGGTCCTCAGGCAACCGGTGTACTGCTGGTTGTAGCTGATGATCACGTTGGTCTGGTCCTCCATGTAGTGGCTGAAGCAGTCGTTGATCAGGGTCGACTCATCGCGGGCCTCGGGGGCGGCCATCATGGAGCGCACGGCGAACTGTTGGCGGGCCAACATGGATACCAGATCGGCGGGATGGGTGGGCACCAGGGCGGCGAAACCACTGGTGGCCAAAAGCAGGCACAAGGCGATAGCGAACTTCATTTTGTGAATATATTCCTCCGACCTTACTAACCGACTTAACGGATCTCGAATTCGTACTGAAAGCTACTGGTCTTTGGCTCATATTTTTATAGCCCTGTTCTATCACAATTTTCGGCAATTGAAGTTGTCATTGAGGAATCATTAATTCATGCTGATTAAAAGCTAATTAAGTTGGTATCTTTTTACCAAAATCGGCGTCGAGATTCCTTCCGATTTCATTTTTCATTTTTAATAAGTTTTTCTCTGACTTAACCCTCCATAAATAGCCCTCTTATCTGGCATTGGTAATGGCCAATATAGTTGGCCACTTATCGAGCGAATGGTTCTAATTGATTTGCTGGCGTCCGGTCATTCAAACAGCGGTTAACACTGTACTTAGCCCATTCAACGAGGACTAGCGCTTGATAACAGGGGGTATCTTAAGTGGGTTACACAATGAATCACACGATTCTATTTCTCAAGTTTAGTATTTGTTATTCCCCCGTTAAATAAAGGCTTTCTAGCTTACGGCAAGGCAAACTTTAATTATTGATTCATCTGTTATTATGTATAATTAGAAAACATATACATTTTTAGTTTTCGATTAAATAATTTAGTTATGTTTATCTATTTGTTTTTATTTGCTTCGTTTATAATTATATGTAGGAATAATTAACACGATGGCTTAGTGAGTTTTGAACCACTCCTGCAGGCTGTTCACAAGCCGCTGCATTTCACTCTTGTTCTGACTGGATTCCGATTTCAAGTCCTCCTCGGGAAGGGCTTCCTTTTCGCCTCCTGAACTTGCCGTGGTTGATTCAGTGGAGGACGACTCAGTTGAGGATTCCGTGGAGTCAGATGAGGAATCAGAGGAGGACGATTCAGTGGAGGACGATTCAGTCGAGGACGAATCATCAGGGGAGGATTCAGACGAGGACGAATCAGTCGAAGAAGATTCGGTCGAGGACGAATCAGTCGAGGACGAATCAGTCGAGGAAGATTCAGTTGAAGATTGCGTGGATGGGGCTTCAGAGCTCGTGGTTTCAGATGGAATGGGAGCACCTTCCATGCACAGTTTCAGATCCTCGTAGTGCTTGGCCGAATCCTCTTCATAGATCCTCTGCGTCTTGTTGGTGCACACGTATTCATTAACCTGGATGAGGCGCTTTTCTTCCTTCACAACGGCCAGCAGTTCGGAGGCGTTGGCAGATATGGTGAACATGGACTTGGTGCTGTCGGAACCCTTTAATGAAAACAACAAAGTAAATTAGTGATATAATATATTAGATAATGATAATCTTATAAATGTATATATAGTTTTAATTTCAAGTTAGGAGCTAACTTACTAGACTATTCCTTTAATCAGTAACCTGTAAACGTGATAGGTCTAAGGTACAACTTGTTTACGTATAAAAGTATCATTAAAGGTAGTTTATCTATGAGAAATCAGCTTGATAAGTAAAAAATCAAAGTCATTACTATGAGTAATTAAATAATTAATTTTCAAAATGTAGTTAATGGTAAAATGTGAACGTATTATTACTATCTTATATTGAGTTGCGCGATTGTTTTGAGTAAGATTTTTGTATACTAGGGATTTTAACTTACGGCTTTGCTGTAGCATTCGAAGAAATTCTCGGCGGCTTCGAGTTCACTGCAGCTATTAAGGGCATCGCAGGAGTTGGTGGCGGAGGCGTCGATAGCTTCTCGGTCGGCCTTGGTGGTGTCGTTGATCTGAGCGATCTCCAGAGCAGACTGCTCCAAGCAAGCCGATATTTGCTCCTTGTAAACAGTTCCAGCCTGATCGATCAGGGGGAGATAGTAGCTTATGCAGTCGATGGAGTGGGAGCCATCTCTGCTGAGATCCCGAGATTGCAGGAGGAACTGCATCAAGTTGTTGCCCGGCTGGTCGAGTTGCAGAGCAGGAGAGGGCAAGGCCGAAATCTGGCTAAGGCCGATGGCCAAAAGGACAATGCACAACATGGCTTGCATTTTTATAATATTTCTGTAATATTTTTTACTATTAGTAGTTTCTGTAGACTATCACGTTTTCACTGTTCCAGCGATCGATTCGAACTTGTTGAATCCACCTAACGGCTGCAGTATTTATAGGCGCCGCCCTTGAGTGGTCCATAAAAAATATTTCTCAGTTAGTTTCCATTAAAAAATACCATGTTATTGCCGTGTTATTGCCTCGGTTTTAGCCAATCACTCGAGCTATCTCGAAAAGCCGGGCGTAGCTATCAGTCTTATCGATTTTATAACCGCCACTCAACGGGACCCACCCGGCAAATCCAGCCCAAGGGTATCCTCCGTCCCGCACCCAAAATTTGTACTCAGTTAGATCAGCGCTCGATCGAAGTCAACACTTCCCGGAATGGGCCTTTAAACGTATTTGTCCGAATTTGATAAAATACCTTTCGTCTGAGGAGAGAAGATGAAAGGAAAAGCGCAAATGGCCTGTGATTTCTGTAGTTCTAGAACAATCTAATCTAGTTGGAGTGCTTTTCTTGGAGAAGAAACACGTGCAGTCTATTTGTCTGTCTTGCAGTTCGATTCTTAGAAAATTCACAGAGCCTATTAAAAATAAAAAATAGATTCTATCGTCATAGTGGTTTGTTATTGGTCAAAAATGGAACTTGATAAGACCTTCGAGTTGGCAAATAAAATATAAACATGCTAAGGTTGAGTGTCTATCGTTAAAGGGAAAAACTAATTTTAGGCCAGGGGCTTTAGGATTTCCCAGGGCTTATCAACTAATTTACTAGTCAATATACGGGCAGAGATTGATTACTGATTTTGATATACCCAATTTTTATGACTAATGACCGAACAATATGCACTTGAGCTTTATCAGAGTCGCTCGTAATTGTTACATTTCGAAAAGTGTAATGACTCACTTGAGCTATTATTGTGGTCTTAAATAAATAGCTATTGTCTAGATAGTTGGACAAGTTTAAAGCTGCACCCATCGCATGCCCCTGCATAATTATCAGAGCTCAGTGGAGTGGAGATTTCATCAGGAATATACAGGAGCTGCAAAGGCAAGGACAACTTCTAATTTGCATATCTTAATTGCGTGTTCTTTGAGTGTGTATTTTGGGGGGTGCAGTATTCCCATACCCCATTTCCCCGCAAAATAGGCAGGATGCAAGGAGGCCAGGATGCAGGACACTTTTGCAACTTGCCAAGTTATTGGCTTTATTTTGGCAAAGTGAAATCTCCCCTTTGCACAGCGCTTCTAATTTGTTTTAATTGCAGTGACAACAAGGCCGCCGGCAGCTGCACAAACAATAACAACACATGCAATTAAATTTGAATAAAAAGCACCGCTAGGAAAATGCCTCTTCTGTTTATTTAACTGTTACCGCTACCTTAAAATGCCCCACCCACCACCACCCCCTGGATTTCCCCCCTTTGTTTGTCCCCCGCCCGGGGTAAAGTTTTCCCAGGCTGATTTACATGTTTGCCCACCTTTTCCTTTCCCCTTACTACTCCTCCATGTCCTGCGGATCTTTGATAAACTTGGACTGATGGCAAATGCAAAAAGTTTTATTTGCATCGCATCAGGTTGGTTTCCTTCTCGCTTTTCCACCTAGATCGGACCGTTAATTAAGTAAGTTGCAATGGGTTTTAGTTTCTCGTTTGAGTTTCCAGATTGACTTCATCACTTGATGCCATCTGTTTGGTTTTAAGACGAGGCCAGTCCATTTTCTGTTACCCATTTGCAATTGCCTGCAGCTTGTCCTTCAATTATGTGGAGTGTTCAGCCTAACAGTCGGAAAAAAATCACAGCCTTCAGAACCTTTAAAAGAATGTTGGAAATCATTTTCCCCGATATCAGATTTTGCAAATGCAAGGAAAAGCCTTGAATAAAAAATGTACCATTTGTCATAGTCGTCCTAGCAAAGGTATATATACCATTCCCAAAAAGTTAAAAGACTTAAAGATTATATAATAAACAAAAACTAATTTTAAGACATGCTATTTTAAAAGACTTTCAAAGAGCGTTGGGACTCGATTTCCCCAGTTTCTCTTCCAAAAAAGCTCAAGTTCTTTTTAATTTTAACAAATATTAATTCACCATAAATCAAAGACGTCTTAAAAAAATTAATTAAATACTTGTACTACTTACTGTCTTTAAAATCTATTTACACCAAACGTTGGAAATCGTTTCACCTATATTATATCACCATATCACATAAATAAAATAAGCCCTGGCTAAGATACCATAAATCATAGTCGTCTTAATAAAATTTCTCAGATACCATTCCGAAAAATCACAGAATTAAAAAAGAATTAATTAGCTACATAAAATATGTGTCCATATGTTATATAAAGAGCCATTCAAAAAGCATTAAAAATCGTTTCCCTGATAGATAACATAAATTCTTCTTAATCCTTAAAAATCAAACATTTTTAAATGCAAAATACACCTTAATAAAGATCAATTTACCATAAATCAAAGACGTCTTAATAAAGTAACCCGGATAACAGTCTTAAAAGCAAGAAATTGATTGATTGTTTATCTTTTTATAGTTTTTACAATATAAAAGGCAGACTTGGATTGCTTTTTTTAAATATTTTCTTGAATATAGATACACTTTATTTTAAAATAGTTCGTTTCTTAAACAACATGTCTGTAAATACTTTCCAGTTTCCTGGCCAATCTGTGATTGTTGTTGGCGCTGCTTCTTACTTCGGATTCGATATGAGAAGATTGGTTTGGCCTGACCGTTGTGATTTGTGGGGCAGATGAGCTGGATTGGGTTGTGCTCTGTTGGGTTGTTGGTGGGGGACTTGTGCTGCTAATGGGCCTGCTGGTGGTGGTGTCTACCGGCACAGGAGACAGTCCCGCCATGCAGCTCTGGAAAGCCTCGTAGGAGTTGCCGGACCGAACCTCGTAGTTCCGAGCCGAGGTGTTGCAGCAAAGTTCACGCGTGTAAGCAAGTTGCTCAATCTCCTGTCCCAGAGATCCATAGAAAACGGAAGCACTGGAACCAACAGCGGTCAAGTTCTTGGCGTATTTCGGACCCTGAATATGATAAATATGTTTTTTATTAATTATTAAACAGATACTTTTATGATAAATCATCAAGGAAATTTTACTATAGTCAAGGATTTTTTTTCTGGGTCTAGAAAATATTTTAATACTTTACCTCAACGGCGTAGCAGGACAGAGCCTTCTGACTATCATTCTTGTTATCACAGTCAAGCAAAAACATGCAGGAGTCGAATGTGGAATTGCTGAGATCCCAGACCACAGAATCGTATTGCCTCAGGACCTCCTTATGGCCGCCCTCGTACTTGTCCACGCACTGGTTGTACTCATCCTCGTAGATAGACCAGTCATTTTTGAAAACGCCATCGTAGTAGTTGAAACAGGCTGCGGCCAGTTGTGGGTTATTCCGCTGCATTTCGCTGGTGGCACTCATGATCTCCATGATTCTCGAGGGCCCAGAAAGGAGGCTGGGATTGGCGATGGAGGAGCCGATGGCCACGGTGGCCAGCAGGATGGCGATGAGATGGGAGTTCATGTTGCTCGCTCAACGGTTCGTTTGTAACTTGGTCCTAACTGGCTACTGGCCAACGCTTTTATGCCTACCAGAAAAGTCTGGAGCTGCCATAAATAAAGTGGCTTTTCTCCTATCTTGCTCCAGATAAGACGTATCAGTATGGCAATCACCCTACGCACCGGACTTGGGCTACTGGTACTTCCTTCAACAATCCGTAAACAATCTTCGAACGGCTACCTGGAAATCTAGATCTCATTTGGTTCGTCATCGAATCGGCCGCCGATTAGAGGTCATTAGATTGTTACCCCAGTTAAAACGTGTTTGTAATGCCAAAAATCCTCCGATATCATTCTTATCACGGCAATTCCCCTCAGTCTGGTTTGCATAACCCAGATATTAACCATCAACAATTATTTTGACTGCGGGTGACTAACTCGAAATCGCGGTATTTTTGGCTTTGAAGGGGCTAAGGGGATTTTTTAATTGGTATTTTTAATTGAAGACTTTCCCTGGTACCAAGAATTGGGTTAATAACTTTTTTCGCTCTAAATATAATTTATTGCTTAACAAAGACGGCAGTTTTTCGGGTTATTAATCTGAAAAAATAAGACGATCATTAAATTAACACATATTTTAAATATAACTTCTCTGAGTTCGGCAGTCTAGGTAGAGACGAATCTTAAACTTCTAGTGCCAGATGGATTTTTATCGTTTCCTAAAAAGAGACCGTTAATCTGTTGGTTGACTCAAACTTTCAAAAATGTAGATATTACTATTGATAATACCAATATACAGATAATATTTGCCGCATTGTATATCAGACATAGATTTTAAGAAATATGGTTGGGAACAGCATGATTGTAAATCTAATTAAATGTGAGTTTTAATGCCAAAAAGTTATGATTTCTTTGTTATCAACCCATTCACCCGCTGTCTACTTTGCTTCGGGTAAATAAGAAAGCAGCGGAAATTGCTGAAATATCTGGTGTTTTTAATTTAGCAAAGTGCCCCAGTTCCGGGAATTGGGTTAATAACAATTTTCGCTGTAAACTGAGTTAATTGTTAAACAAAGGATTAGCCTTTTTTGTATTCCATCTTGAGCTACTGTACAATGGAGATAAAAATTAAAAATGTCGAAATTTTGTAATGTACGCACCCATCCCTATGGTTTTATAAGAATGAATCCCTATTGATATATGTAAATAAAATAATTATAAAAAATAAATTAAACAAAAAATAGTTTAAGATTTGTTATATAACAAAAAAAACTCGGTTAGATAAAACTCGTGCTTATCAGTACAACACCTATAAGTCGTTAAGTGAAACCACCTCCAGAACTCCTCTTAACCACTGAAAATTGGGTTGATAAAAATTTGGTAATTAAAATATCGCAGCAATTAAATATTGCTGTTTTGATTGCTAATAAATAAGCCCGATTACGATACATTTTACAATTATCGATAAGATGTTAAGATAACTAATAAATAAAGCCGAATAACAACGCTTGGTCTCAAATTCACCCCATGCTCACTTTTTATGATTTTTAGTCTTAAACAATGTGTAAGGTCTTTTGGG